AGGTTTGAAATTTGAGGATCCCCACTGGACACCTTGATGAAGACATTCATAAAGTAGCTGTAAGTGTGAGGTAGGAGCTGTTAAACTCTGCGGCTAGAAAGAGGTTTGGGAGGTGAGCTGGGACTGTGAGAAAAGATGAATGAAAGAAGAGGACTGAGTTAAGAGAGTTTATTTACATTCACATCTAAGATGTGAAAAGAAGAGCCAGGGATAACAGTGGAGGGATAGCGTATTTTTGTGGATGTCAAGTGTCAAAAGAAGGGTCAGGTCAACATTTTCATGTTCTTGAAAATTTAAGACAAAGGATGGCTTCTGGATTTTTGGATTTGTCACTGACTTTTGGCAAAGAAGTTTCAGTAGCAGTGGGATTGAGTAGGAGCCAAGTTGCAGAGCCTGAGAGTGTTTAGAGGTAGGAGTTGAATGAACATTTGCCTCCTTCAATGGGAGGATAACAACATAGTGGTTCCATGGATTACATGGATTACACTATCAGCCCCAGCATCAGTGACAGTTTGTGCCTAATAATTCCTTATTATTCCCTCTTTCCCCCAAGTTGTAACAACTAAAGATGTCCTCAAACATTGTCAAATCTCCTTTGGGGACCAAATTCCTCAGCTGAGAACTGCTGATCTACATGGTTGATAAAGATTGCTGCTGCTTCCATCCTCTGCAGTGATTCCCTTTACTGTCAGTGATGCTTGGTCCACTGTTGGTGGTGGGAAAGGAGAAGTCCAGACAGTGGAAAATTAGAGGCAGCCAGGAGATGACCCTGATGCAGGGTCCTATGGAGGGCAGGAGGAAACAAAGCCAAACCACTGTCTAGAAAATGTATCTTGAGAGGGTAGATAGCGATACATAAATCCCTCCCATTTTTGGAGTGATAAAGATGATTTTTGCTCACAGGAGATGACCTTTAGATTCTTACTAAAACAGGAATAAAGGTCATCTGAAAATAAGTAGACAAGGCTAATAATGTTTGGCATTTGTGGAAATCCTACACTATGGGTATGTGGATTGATACACAGCAGAAGCATTACAGAGCAACAGTGAGCCGTGGTTGATGAGTGACTTTAGAAAATAATAAAGACATTAATGTCTTAATAAAAATTTTTAAAAATACCAAGTTACATGTTGAGGTAGAAGAAAGCCTATAACCTAACCACTCTGACACTGTTTTTATTTGCACGTTCTACTTTTTAGACTTAATCTACATTTTTATTTTGCTTATTCACAGATCATTGTAGATTTCAGTATTACTGAACTGTCATTTCAGTTAATTTTTATGGCCATGTAATAGTCTGGATTTTGTCTTTAAGTTATGATACAGTTTTTTAGTTGCTAACAGGCTGTTTACAGTTTTGAGTTGCAGTAAACTTTATGCATAAAACTTTGCCAAATTTTATTAGTGGACACAGTGAAGGTTTTTATACATTTAACTCAGAGCCGAAAATGTATTTACTTAAGTGTTACCCATCACATTGAAAATTGCAACCCTCATCACACCTTTATTTTTCTCCAGAACACTTGCTGTTCTCTAGATGTTTTGCTTACTTAACTTCTTTTATCTCCCTTGCTGAGTATATAAGCTACCAACAAAAGTGAGTTTTAGTCACCACCTTGAGTAGTGCCTGGGAAATAAATACTCGATGGATGCATAAATGGTGGAATTTAAATGGTGGAATTTAGTCCTGTAGGCAAGATGGGTATGGCAGAGTGTCAGTGACAGTATATTCATGGAAGCCAGTGAAAAAATAATTGCATTGAAATAATTGCATTGACAGGTCTTTCAGGGAAGCGGGAAGCAACAAAAGTACATAGAAACAGTGAGTTGGGAGATTGAATAGTTAGTGCCTGAAGGTAATGTGACAACAAAAACACGTTCCTCTAGAGGGAGAACATGGAAGAAGTAGAAGGTAAATAGGTTGTGGTTAGCGAAGGGAATTTCCCAAGATTTAGATAATAAAAATGAATTAGAAGGTTAATGTATTGCTGTCTTTCCCTGAGAATAAGCTATATCACTTTTTAATTGACCCTTACTTGGCCAACAAGCCCTTCTAAGCTTGTTATAGTGGGTTCACATTGAGTAGTGGTATATAAATCAGGTTTTGTTTTCGAAGGTCTTTATTGAAATGTGGCTGTACAATATATGCTAATCTGAGCAAGCAGATAATACCAGGATTGTCTGTTGTACAGTTAGTTAAATGCATTCAGAGACAAGGTCAACCCCCGCTTGAAAGCTAAATTTCCTGTGTCGCCCCCCCCCCCATTTGGTGTAGCAGATTGATCTCCTAAATGATTTCATTGACTTTTTAAGTGACTGTCCTATAGGTGCTTTTCTATTTGAGATCATTTTACTCAAAGTAGAACAATTTTGCAAAACATTTAGCACATAGCATATGCTAAGCTTATTTTAAGCAACTGTAGGCAGCCACTATCAAGTAGGGAAATTACAATAATGTTCTTTTGGAGCACACTTGTTACTCTGAGCCAGTGCATTGTTTTTTGTCATCTTACAGGTTTTCCACTGTAATATATATATAGTTGTTGTTGTTTGTTTGTTTGTTTTTTGTACCGGAGATCGAACTCAGGACCCTGCACTTTCAGACAGGCGGCGCTTTCAGACAGGTGGCGGCACCACTGAGCTAAATCCCTGGCCCTGTATCCTATTTTTAACTTTAAAATTCCCATTTATTCTCAAGTGAATTGTTAATTACAGATAAATATGATTTAGTAGGAAAAACTCTGTAGAGGCAGTTGAAGTACTCTTTTTCTTATATTTGTCAACAGATGGCCTGTTTCTTAATTGATTAGGTTCTTCCATTTCAAAACAGGACAGTGGTCTCAAATCAAACCCTTCTTCCCCCCAGAATCTCTAGGATACTTTACCATTGTACTGTTTGCTTACGCTTATGTGATATATAATACATATAATATGAGAGGCTCAAGATGTTAATGTCATAAGGAAAGAGAAAATAAAGAGCATTCCACACAATGAGGAAAAGGTGGATGGAAAGCATAATCTGTTATTTTGCCTAATCTTTTAGCTACTAGGTTTCAGAATACAGGATTGTTTTCAGTATGTTTAAAGATTTCAGAGGAACAAGGTTTTCTGATAAATGTAGGAAACAAGGTGAGTAAGGAGAAAGTCTTACTAGGAATTATTTTTAAATGAATCTAAACAAGAAGAGGAGTAACAAGGAGCATCACTGTGTGACTTGTTTATGCCAAATACTATAAACACTTTGTGTTGATTTTCTCTAATCCTCAGAATAGTGCTTGGATTGTAACATCCCTGTGTGCACATTATAGAATTAAGTCCCACAGAAGTTAATAAACTTGTAAAACATTGTATAGCTAGGAAACAAAAGAACTGGATTCAGATCCAGAAATCTCCCAATTCTGTGCCTTATACCCTATCAGACTATCAAGAACCAACAGTGACACCAAGGATTAATGCTTCAGAAATTTATATTTCTGTTAAATGTAGAAGAAACATTTGAAATATTTGCCAGAGTATAGTTATTGAAAATATAAGATTGGGGCCGGGGGTTTAGCTCAGTGGTTCTGGTGCCTGCCTTGCAAGTGTAAAGTTTGATCTCCGGTACCAAAAAAAGGAAAGAAAGAAAATATAAGATTGTTTGGTGTACCATTGCATACTTCATCTTCTTATTTCATGTCCCGAAATTCCTTCATCTGGTGTGAAAAACACAACTAGAGTGGGTAGGCATTGCAAACAGATATTATGGGCATGGGTATATATGTATGTTCTAGAAGCAATGCTTAAATTTGAGGTACTATTGGGCCGGGGATTTAGCTCAGTGGTTTTGCCGCCTGCTGCGCAAGTGCAAGGACCTGAGTTCAATCCCTGGTACCAAAAAAAAGAAAAAAAATTTGAGGTACTATGGTCTCTACAGTAGAAATCTACTTTCCTTGATCAGCAATTGGCTTACAGTATTGGAAAGATCATTAGAACCACATATAAGAGATTTTCTGTATTCAAGTATGAAATTTGTTTTGTTTGGTACTGGGTACTGAACCCAGGAGTGCACTACCACTTGAGCCACACTCCCACTTTTTTTTTTTGTACTGGGGATCGAACTCAGGACCTCCACTTGCCAGGCAGGCACCGTGCCACTGAGCTAAAGCCCCGGCCCTCCGTGTTTTTTACTTTTGAGACAAAGTCTCATCATGTTGGCTCAGGCAGGCCTCAATGTGGAATCCTTCTACTTCAGCCCCCTGAGTGGTTGGGGATACATGTGTGTGCCACAGTGCCCAGTTAGATTTCTTCTATGAGACCTGTGCCAGAAATGGTTGGTTATATGCCTGAACCCTTTGTCAGCTTTATTGGTATATATGTTTATAATATTGTAAATTGAGTAAAATTGTTTTCTAAATTAAAAAAAAAAAATTGAAAGTCTTCTTAGACCCAAGAGCGTCATTTAAAATAGGTTTTTAAATCATACAAGGACAAAATAATTTGGTGTTGTAGGGCTTTTGTTTTTTACTTTTTGGGTTTTTTTTCTGTGTAGTTAACTTCAGGAAGTTTGAGGCATTTCCTCTATTGTTTAAAAAAATCAGAGTGCCCTTCCATGGGTTGCAGTGACTGGTTCTTCCCTACTCAATACAGTCACTGTAATTAGCACACGGTGTAGGCTATTTTAAAGCAGTTCTTAATAAGTCTTGCTTCTATGGATAACTAGGCTTACACTTCTTCATTATTTGGTTGTTAGCAAAATATTAACCAAGATTTGACTTTTCTTTATCTTGATCCAAAGAACATACTTAGGAAAGAATCCTGTACTTTTAATTCAACATTTTTGTGACCTCTTATGAGGAAAATAGAGAGCTTTCTTACATGCTGAATCATAGGGCTGTTATTAAATAAGCCAAATTTTTGCCAAGAATAATCAGTTTAGAAATGTGTGACATTATACTTAAAGGAGCTTAAACCTATGAGTGGCAGATAGAATTTATATGTTAACCAGATTCCTTGTTTGCAGGGAGAATGCTGGGGAACCAGACTCCTGGAGCAGTTTATCCTATGAAATCCCGTGTGGAGACTGTTTGGTGAGGCATCATCGGGAGCTGGACATCTATACTTTGACCTCTGAGTCAGAATCCAACTGTGAATCCCCATTTCCTGGAAACAGTTGCTCTGGACATATTTTAAAACTTATGAACATTCAACAGCAACTAATGGTAAGGAAGATGGATTTCATTTTCAGCTGTGCATGTGTGTGTGTATGTGTCTATCTTGCCTAATGAACTAGCCATACTTAGAATATAAAAATGCTTCTACCACAGATCATGAAGCCTGTAAAGTAGTATTAGTACTAGTAGATGTCAGCACGTAAAATATAACCTAGCATAAAGATTGTAGTGGGCAGCTGAGATTTTTAAATTGATTTTTGCCATATTTTTTATTTTATTTTATTTTTTGGTACAATTTAGGTATACAGTATAATGACATTCAACATTGGAAATGTGCACCTTTACGTAATCTCTCTTGGTTCTTATTTTTCCCCCTTCCCCTGCCCTCCCTTCAACCCCTCCATCACTCCCTATTTACAAAGGCTTTGTTTCCTTTTTTTCATTTTCTCATATTGATTCCATTCCCTTCTTTCCTTTCCCCTACTCCTCCCACTTCCCCTTCCCCTTTGCCCCTTTTCTTCCTATGTCACATTATCTATTATACCATTTAGACCTTATTTACACTTGCAGTTTCTCACACTAGAGAAACTATTCGGGATTTACACATGTGTGTCCTGTTTATGTCGCTTAAGAGTATCGCCTCAATGTGTGTCCATTTTGCTATAAATGTCTCTAATTTCTCATTTTTTATGGCTGAGTAGTACTCCATTTTATTTTAAAAAACACATTTTCTTGATCCAGTCTCCAGTTGATGGGCATTTGGGCTGCTTCCAAGTTGTAGCTATTGAAGACTGTGCTGCTGTGAACATGGGTGCACATGTATCACTGTTGAATGATTCTTTTAATTCTTTGGGGAAGATCCCCAGCAGGGGAATAGCTGGGTCAAAAGGGACTTCCAGTTCTAGTTCTTTGAGGTATCTCCATACTGATTTCCCCAGTGGTTGCACCAGTCTACACTCCCACCAGCAGTGGAGCAGGGTTCCTCTTTCCCCACAGCCCCGGCAGCATTTGTTACTGGTTGATTTCATG